ATCGGTGTGGAGGCCCCAGGCTCAGCTTGGCCATGGGACATCAGAGTGGGGCCTGCAGCTCAGACCTGCCTCTCTCTCCCACACCTCCAGATGCCACGGCTGTGGCTAGATTATTGCCAGTTCCTGATGGACCAGGGACGCGTTACACACACCCGCCGTACCTTTGACCGTGCTCTCCGGGCGCTGCCCATCACGCAGCACTCACGGATCTGGCCCCTGTACCTGCGCTTCCTGCGCTCACACCCGCTGCCTGAGACGGCCGTGCGCGGCTACCGGCGCTTCCTCAAGGTGAGCCCAGCAGGGGTGAGGCAGGGCCAGGCTTGGACATGCTTAGTTCCCCTGGTTAGTTTCTAAAAATGGGCTCCTCGGGATACCAGACACACGTGGGTGCTACCTACCAGACAGGATGTGGGAAAAGGGTGCTTTGAGATAGGTGGATTTTTGCCTGTTAGTTCATTTGTTGATTTTCCAAAGAGCTTGCTGGCACCCAAACCGAAAACCAAGCCTGTTGCTATGGAGTCGATTCCGACTCATAGCGATCCTACAGGACAGAGTAGAACTTCCCCACGGGGTTTTCACGGCTGTAAATCTTTACAGAAGCAGACTGCCCCGTCTCTCTCCCACGGAGCATCTGGTGGGTTCGAACTGCTGACCTTTCAGTTGGCAAATGAGCACTTAATCGCTGCGCCACCAAGACGCCTTGCTAGCATCTACTTCACTTCAGAAAGGTCCCTGGGTGGTACAAGCGGTTTGTACTGGACTACTAACCTAAAGGTTTGCAGTTCAGACCCACCCAGCAGCATTGCTGGTCCAACCCCGGTCCTGGTGATCTGCTTCCGAAAGGTCGCAGTCTTGAAAACTCTCCAGAGCAGTTCTGTTGTGCACACGTGAGGTTGCCGTGAGTCCGAATCGACTCGATAGCAACAGCTACTCCACATCAGGCACCGAGGCGTGTGGTGGGGACAGAGTGACTAGGACAGTTTCTGCCCACAAAAAGGTTTCAGTCCCACTGTGAGTGTGTGAAGCAGGGTGAAACAGCAGCTGTGGCGAGGTGGCCAGAGCCACGGGAACGTGAGACAGGTAGGTGGAGAGCTGAGGTCAGATGGGCGCGGGTGGAGTGCGGTTTTCTCAAATGCGTAACGTTTGTCTTATGTCGTGAAACCTTAACTCCCAGTTCTGGGAGCTCTCACTCAGTGCCGTCTGGGTGGGTGCGGGGCTTGTGATGAAAGCGAGGCCTGGACCGTGCAGGCTGGACCATCGGAGCCTAAGCCAGACCAGCCAGGACTGGGGATGGACTGGAGGGCCCAGGCTGGACCATTGGAGCCTAAGCCAGACCAGCCAGGACTGGGGATGGACCGGGGGGCCCAGGCTGGACCGTCAGAGTCTAAGCCAGACCAGCCAGGACTGGGGATGGACTGGGAGGCCCAGTCTGGACCATCAGAGCCTAAGCCAGACCAGCCAGGGCTAGGGATGGACCGGGGGTCCCAGGCTGGACCATCAGAGCCTAAGGCAGACCAGCCAGGACTGGGGATGGACTGGAGGGCCCAGGCTGGACCATCGGAGCCTAAGCCAGACCAGCCAGGACTAGGGATGGACCAGGGGACCCAGGCTGGATCATCGGAGCCTAAGGGCAGACCAGCCAGGACTAGGGGTGGACTGGGGGGCCGAGGCTGGACCATTGGAGCCTAAGTCAGACCAGCCAGGAGTAGGGATGGACCGGGGGGGCCCAGGCTGGTCCATCAGAGCCTAAGGCAGACCAGCCAGGACTGAGGATGGACTGGGGGGCCCAGGCTGGACAAGTAGTCAAGGCTGGACCATTGTGGTCAAAGCTGGACCGGGGGATCCAGGCTGAACAGATAGGACTGAGGCTGGACCAGGGGGCTCAGGCTGGATCGGTGGGGTTCAGGCTGGGTCGGCAGGGCTGGCTGTTGGCTGGGGTGAGTGGGTGGGTAGCAAGAGGTCCTGGAGCCACTGAGTGGGGAGGGGGTCTGGCGATCTGGCCCCGGGCCCCACTGACTGCAGGCGGCGGGTGGGTGGTCCCCAGCTGAGCCCTGAGAGCGCAGAGGAGTACATTGAGTATCTCAAGTCGAGCGACCGGCTGGATGAGGCCGCGCAGCGCCTGGCCACCGTGGTCAACGACGAGCGCTTCGTGTCCAAGGCTGGCAAGTCCAACTACCAGGTGGGCCCCGGGGGTGGCGGGTCAGTGTGGGGTGGGAGGGGCTGCGGCCCACAGGGGCGAGTCTAAGACCCTGCCTTATGCCTGCAGCTGTGGCATGAGTTGTGTGACCTCATCTCTCAGAACCCGGATAAAGTGCAGTCCCTCAACGTGGACGCCATCATCCGTGGGGGCCTCACCCGCTTCACCGACCAGCTGGGCAAGCTCTGGTGCTCGCTGGCTGACTACTACATCCGCAGTGGCCACTTCGAGAAGGTGTGCGGGCACGAGCGCCTCTGTGGGCAGGGCGGGTCCCTCCAACACGGCACTTGGGGCGGCCACGCAAGGACACGCATGCGGACACGTGTATGAGCA